GGGCCAGGCCTTCTGAGAAGGCTCAGAAGTCCCCCAGCCTTCCGAGGCGTTTTCTGAGCCTTCTGTGAGAAGACACGGAACATATTTCTCGGAGGGCGCGGGGGCTTTTGGGAAGCCACGGCGCCTTCTGAGAAGACCTTCTCCTTCTCGCTTCCACCCCTCGCTTGCCGCCGACCAAATTAAGCGAGCAAGCCCCTGTATCAAGTCGTGCGTGTCCATCTACAGCAAGAGCATGCAAGAACAGTCAAAAGCAAGTCTGAGCGAGTACGTGCTGACTCTTGCTTTCCATCTTCTTTCAACATCCGCCTCTGCGAGGACATGCCCGCCCCAACCCTTGTAGTCTGTGCTGCCTGGCCACGCTTCGGGATGCGCCCCGGCAGGCTCGCCGAGGCGCCCCGAGCAGCCTCGCCGAGGTGCCCCAGGGGGTTGTGGCCCGAGGGGGAGGCGCACGCGAGCACCCATAGGGCATGGCGCGAGGAGGGGGGGGGGCCTTCTAAAGGTCGGGGGCAACGATGGTCGAAGAAGAGCAGACGGCATGAACATCGACTTTCTGCGCTCCGCGCGGATCTCTTGGATCCGCGCTGGGCCTGGGCCCCCCGCCCTTGGCGGCGCCCTCAGCGCCGCCCCTGGCGCGCTCCGCTGGACAGGGGGGGGGTCCAGGGCAGATCCAAGAGATCCGCGCGGAGCGCCACAAGTTTGTGTCTATGCCGTGTTCCCTTCTATATATATATATATATATATATGCGTGTATGTATGTATGTATGTATGTATGTATGTATGTATGTATGTATGTATGTATGTATGTATGTATGTATGTATGTATGTTTGTATGTATGTATGTAATGTATGTATGTATGTATGTATGTATGTATGTATGTATGTATGTATGTATGTATGTATGTATGTATGTATGTATGTATGTATGTATGTATGTATGTATGTATGTATGTATGTATGTATGTATGTATGTATGTATGTATGTATGTATGTATGTATGTATGTATGTATGTATGTATACATATAACGGCGCACCGGATCCGGGGGCCCTGGGCGGGGACCTCGACCACAAATGTGGGCTCCGGGGGGCCCGGAGGCTCGTCGGGGCTTGCCGGAGGCCTCCCCAGTCAGACAAGACGGCCCCAGGAGCGCCCAAGACGGCCCAAGAAATTTCCAAGAGGTCTCCAAGAGGGCTCGGAGATGCTGAAGATGGCCTCCAGACGTCCAAGGACGCCCCCAAGAGGCCCCAAGAAGCCTCCAACATGCGTCCCAAGAGGGCCCCTAGACGCAAAAATTGGCCCATTCCCTTCGTAAAACGTACATTTTCAACAAAGTCGCCTTTTGGGCTTTCCGACGTTACAGGACGGCCCAAGAGGCGCCCAAGACCGCCCCCGGCTCCCAAGAGGGCCCCAGGACAGCCCAAGAGGGCCCCAAGACGGCCCAAGAGGCGCCCAAGATGGCCCAAGAGGGCCCCAAGACGGGCCCAAGAGGGGGCCCAGAGGGGGACCACGAACCGCAAGCTCGAGCCTTCCGCCCCAAGAGGCCGCCAGGAGGCCCCCAGGAGGCCCCTCAAGAGGCCCCAGGAGACCCCAGACGTCCAAGGACGCCCCCAAGAGGCCCCAAGAAGCCTCCAACATGCGTCCCCCTCCCAAGAGGGCCCCTAGACGCAAAAATTGGCCCATTCCCTTCGTAAAACGTACATTTTCAACAAAGTTGTCTTTTGGGCTTTCCGACGTTACAGGACGGCCCAAGAGGCGCCCAAGACCGCCCCAAGACGGCCCAAGAAGCTTCCAAGAGGGCCCCAGGACAGCCCAAGAGGGCCCCAAGACGGCCCAAGAGGCGCCCAAGATGGCCCAAGAGGGCCCCAAGACGGGCCCAAGAGGGGGCCCAGAGGGGGACCACGAACCGCAAGCTCGAGCCTTCCGCCCCAAGAGGCCGCCAGGAGGCCCCCAGGAGGCCCCTCAAGAGGCCCCAGGAGACCCCAGACGTCCAAGGACGCCCCCACGACGCTTCGCGTCACCAATTTCTTCTCACAACGATTCCTGGGTCTGTGACTCGACAGAACCTAAGCGCGCGCGAAGCGCGCGTGGTTCTAGTATGTATGTATGTATGTATGCATGCATGCATGCATGCATGCATGCATGCATGCATGCATGCATGCATGTATGTATGTATGTATGTATGTATGTATGTATGTATGTATGTGTGTGTGTATGTAAGTATGCATGTCTATATATATATATATATATATATATATATATATATGTATGTATGTGTATGTATGTGTATATATATATATAGATATGGGGGGCAGGCAGAGGCCCCGCCCGACCCCCCATGAGGACGGGGCGGCCGGGGAGGTACAAAATAGTCCAAGGGGGCCTCCAGAGGCTCCCCAGACGGCCCAAGCGGGCCCGGAGTCGCCGCAAGACCGCTCCTGGACGCCCAAGATAGGCCCAAGACGGCCCGAGAGGCCCCCCCAAGGCATTCCACGACGCTTCAAGACGCCTCTCCAGAGCGCTTCAAGTGGCCGAAATCGTCAATTTCACGAAGGTTTTGGAGAGGTTTTGGCCTTCCAGACTTTTCGGCTGTCCGACGTTCCGAGACGGCCCAATAGGCCCCCAAGAGCGCCCCAAGACGGCCCAAGATGGCCCCCAGACGGCCCCAGAGGCGCCCAAGACAGCCCAAGAGAGCCTCAAGACGGCCCCAAGATGCGCCCAAGAGGGGGACCACGACTCCAAAATTCGACCTTCCCGCTTGAAGAGTGCCTGAGGAGGCTCCAAGGAGCCCCCAAGAGGCCCCAGGAGGCCCCCGAGAGGCACCCAGGAGGCCCAAACGAGGCCTCAAGAGGCCACAAAACAGCCCCGATGAGGCCCACAACGGTCCCAAAACGGCTGCCGAGAAGCTGCGAAATTGCCTGACGTCCCCGACAAGCCAACCACGAGATCCAAACCAACACCCATGAGGCCTCTGACCCATCACCTAGGGCACCCGCCGCCCGCCCGCCGTCCGCGGAGCACGCACCACTCTGTACCCAACAGCTTCAGTCTCCAAGACAACACCCTGTAGTCAACAGCCCCCGTCTTCAAGGCAACACCCTGTACTCAACAAGCTTCCGCTGCAAGAGAGCACCCTTAAGGAATTCATTCAAATCCCGACCCGCCCGCTCGCCCGCCCGCCACCCGCCCGCCCGCCGCCCGCCCGGCCGCTCGCCCGCCTTCCGCGTAGCACGCGCCACCCTGCACTCAACAGCCTCCGCCTTTAAGACAACACCTAGCATTCAACAGCCCCCAGGGCTCCCGGGACTGCCCGGGCCTGCTCCCAAACACGCCCCGACACGCCAAGAGGGCCCTAAAGATTGCTAAGACAGCCCCAAGAGGCCCCGGACACGCCGAAGATGGCCTCAGGACGGCCGACGGCGCCGCCAAAACGCCCCAAGAGCGCCTCCAGAGGCCCCTCCAAAGGGCCCCGCATTTTTGCGCTCTCGCATGTTCCGCCTCCCCACGGTCCCGGACGGCGTCAGAGGCCCTTCAGATCGCTCCAAGACGGCCGAAGAGGCTCCCAAGAAAGACCAGAGGTCTCAGGAGGCTCACCAGATAATTCAAGAGGGCCTCGAGAGCGCCCCAAGAGAGCCCCAAGAGCGACCCAAGAGGGCCCGAAGAGCGCGACATTTCAAGGTCTCCGGCCTGAGAGGCTCCTGGGACGCCCCCGGAGGCCATCAAGAGGCTCCCAAGAAGCCCCGTGAGGCTCCCAAGAGGCCCCCCGGAAGCCCCAATAAGCCCCCAAGGGGTCCCCAGGGAAGTCCCCTGCGGGCCCCCAAGAGACCTCGGTAAATCGTATTTCCCAAGGAGCTTTCCGGGAACATGATTCTTTGGGCTTCCGCCCACCGCCCCAACCACGTTTCCAATAGGCTTGTCGACAAGGCCAAAAAGGGCCCCTCGATAAGCCCCCAGAGGCCCCCCTGTTAAGAGAGCCGAACAAATCATGATCCCGGAAAGCTTCCCAGGAACATGATTCTCGGGTTGCCGCCCTCTCCCCAAACCATGTTCCCGAAACGCTTGCCAGGATGAAAAAACGAGAGTCCCAAGCAGCGCTCCCTGCCGCCACGCTCGGAAACGCGTCAGGCCCCGCAGCCTCCGGAGACGCCCAACGACACCCCAACAAATCATGTTCCCAGGAAGTCTTACGGCCAGTGCCGCCGACGTTGAAGGAGGACGGTCCAGGACACCCAGAAATCTTCCAAACAGGCTTCCAAGAGGGCGCCGAGACAGCCCAGGGCCGCCCCCAGACCGCCCAAGAAAGCCCCAACACAGACGAAAGGGGCCGCAAGAGGCCCCCTAGAGGCCCTGGAACGAGGACATATCGTTCGAACACGCCCAAGATGGCTTCTGGACGGCCCACAAGGCTTCCAACACGGCCCAAAGGGACGCCAAAATCATTGATTGTCCTTAGGTTTTTGATGGATTTCAGACACCCAATGTCGCCCCAACAGGCCCCCACGAGGGCGGCCCCTGCCGGGGGCACGAGGCGGGGCCCGGGACGGGGCCCTCGCACCGGGGGGCCCGGGGGCCCTGCCGTGGCGCTGGGGGCCTTGTAAAGTCGCCCGAAGACGGCCCTGGATTGCCAGAAATGGCGTTTCCAGACAACGAAAACGACCACTGACCGCTCGAGATCACCCCAGAATTGGTCCCTGACTGTCCAAGAGGCCTCCAAGACGCCCCAAGAGATCTCCAAGATGGCTCCCAAGGAGCCCCAGGAGGCACAACTAATTTGTTTTCCGTTGGTTTTTCATAGACTTTCGAGTTCTCGCCTTTTGAGTTTCCTGACGCTCCACAACGGCCCAAGAGGCTTCAGTTTCCGCTCCAAGGCATCCCCAGAGGCCTCGAAGACGGTCACAAGACAGCCCACGGGGGTCCCAAGACGGCGCCAGAGGCGCCCAAGGCGGCCCGAGAGGGCCCCACGACGGCCCAAGATGGAGCCAAGAGGGTTGACACGAATTCCGTAGCCATTTTGGCTTAAGCTGGCCAGAAGGAGAGGATAGTTCAGTGCTTGCTTTACCGCCGCCTCTGGAGGGCCCGCCCAGCCGCAGGAGCCATGGCCGCGCGCGGCGAGCAGGACGAGCAGCTCCTCGCGAGGCCCAGCGCGGCCCCGGGCGCTCCTGTCGTCTTGCTTGGGCCCGGAGACCGGGGGCGCCGAGGGTGAGCCAGGCGCCGAGGGGGAGCCGAGCCCGTGGCGGCCGGCGCGCGCGCGCGCGGTCGTCGCCGCATTGGTGGCCTGCGCCGTGCTCGCCGCACTGGTGGCGGTCGGTCCGCGGCGGATCCGCGCAGCCGCGCGGCAGGTCGAGGTCGGGCCAGGAGCGCTGGGCTCCACGGTGTCGCTCGCCCTGTCCGATCAGGACTACAACGAGATGTTGGACGGGGTAAATCAACTCCGCATGGAGAATGGCTATCCTCCCCTCTGCTACAACGAGAAGCTCAACAAGGTAGCGCAGCAGTACGCCGACAAGTGTCGTGAAAACCCTCGGATGGCGCACGTCGGGGATGACGGCAGCGACCATCAAGTCCGCATAGCCAGGGGGGGTTACGATGCCTTTCTTTCGGGGGAGAACCTCTTCTGGGGAGAAGACCTCAAAGTCTCCGACGTGCTATTTTTCTGGAGTCACTCAGGCCCTGGGATATACAATTTATATAATCAGCGCTTTTCCCAGTTCGGCTTCGCAAAGAGCGGCCCAGCTTGGGTGGGGCTGTTCGCCCTACCACAAGGAAAGGAGGCCTGCATCCAGGCCGGGGGCGGAGCGGATGGGCACGGCGGCCTGTGCAGAGACTTCGTGCCCGCGGGCGAGTCGTCCTGGCACGACTCCGACGGGGAGACGTGCTCCTGGTACGCAATTGGCAGTCATTGCGCGGATCACGGCCACAAATACAAGAAGTTCAACCACACCGCCGACACGGCCTGCTGCGCTTGCGGTCGCGTCGAGGGCGGCGGCTGTATGGATTTGGTGCCGGACGGGTGGAAGGTGTGGACAGACGGTCATAACCAACAATGCAGCTATTATGCACGGGAAGGAGATGTTGACCTCTGCCAGGCATACGGCGGCAGTGCTCCCACTGGGGGTTTGACGGCCAGAATGGCCTGTTGCGTTTGCGGTGGTGGCCGCACGCTGGGCGAAGACCCAACGTCAGATTTTTTAGCGCCCCCCCCGCCCTCCAGTGGTTTGGGCTGCGGCGAAGATTGCCAAGATTCCGCGGAGTGCCATTCGACCCTATTCTGTGATCACATGCACCATATTTGCATGGACCCTGTGACATTATTGATTTTTGGGTCGAACTGCCACGAGGTCGATAAATCTAATTATGCCTAGGTGTCAACGCAATTGAGTGGGCGACTGCTCGCCTGCGTGCAGTAGCGCGGTTGTACTTGGAGCGTCGATGTCGGGTGTGGGCCGGCAGCAGTAGCTCAGTGTGCAACTGCGTGGCACAGCGAAGGGGTCCCACTGCTCTGCGCAGCCGCGCGTCCCAGGCTTGAGGAAGGCGTTATCGACGCTGTCCCTGGGTTGGTGGTCTTGCCTTCGCCCGATCGGCTGGGGGGCGACGCGTGCGAGCGCGAGTGCGGGTTCCTTCCGCTCAGGGTAGAGAGGACAAGGGTACCGTTCTAATCGCGGGATGCTGAGTGCGCAGCGGTATCAGTGTGGCGCATTTGAGTGCCACTTCGCGCAAGGGTGCCACCTTGATCGACCTCGACATGGTATTCCTCCTCCTTCCTCCCCCTCTCACTCTCATCCCATCCATCCCGCGCCTTCTTCTTCCTTCCCCTCCTCCCCCTCTTCTGTTTGCGTCGCCATCAAGTGGCGCAAGATGGCCGTGCCAATTTCGAGGTAGAGAGATTCAAATGTACCCGTCCTCTTTCTTTCCTCGTGCTGTGGTTTCGCTCCCAGGGATAGATTAGGTAAGAGGCTTCCCAAACTTCATGGTTGCAGAGCTGCGCAATCTAAGGCGATACCTAGTCCTTGGGACTGCGCTCCGTTTTGAAAGAGCGGGCCCTTTGTAGAGGTTGGGAGACGATTGGGTGAGGGATCAAGAGAAGGATATGAAGAACCTGAGGACTCAATACACTTTTGCCTGCTTCAGTTGCAGCACTGTTCAATCATTCGATCTTGCTGCATGAGCGTTGCGCGACCGCGACGCACCATTTCCGTGCGTGAAATAGTGTGCGTGCGCGGCCGGTCCATCCGTGCTCTGAGGCTGGACCTTGGCCTCGAGGCGGACAGGATCAAAATCATCACCTTTCTCCCTCTCCATTCACCCTGCCCCCTCCTCAAGTGTGAACGTTTCTGTATCTTTCAGAAACCGTTGCCTGCTTCAGTTGCAGCACTGTTCAATCGTTCGATCTTGCTGCATGAGCGTTGCGCGACCGCGACGCACCATCTCCGTGCGAAGTAGTGTGCGTGCGCGGCCGGTCCATCCGTGCTCTGAGGCTGGACCTTGGCCTCGAGGCGGACAGGATCAATATCAACACTTTTATCCTTCTCCCTTCACCCTGCCCCCTCCTCAAGTGTGCACGCTGCTGTATCTTTCAGCAGCTGTGGCCAGGAGGATAGATGCTGGCGAATAGGGGGCTGAGTTGGGGCGGAGGGCCGGACACTCTAGTGCAACGTCGGCCTGCCGTTGCCCATGTCCCAACTGCCTGAGACGGACAAAAAAAAGAGGGTTGACACGAATCGAAAATCCGAGTCTTCCACCCCGAGAGGCTCTCAGGAGGCCCCGAGAGGCCCCTAACAGGCTCCAAGAGGCCCCAAGAAGCCCCCCAGGTGGCCGAAGAGTATCCAAGAGGCCTCCCACGAAGGCCCCAAGAGGCAAAAATCCATGTCTTGCCATAGGTTTTTGATTGATGTTAGAGTTTTCAGCCTTTTGGCGTCCTGACGCTCCAAGACTGTCCAAAAGGCCTCCAAGACCAATCCAAGATAGCCCAAGAGGCCTCCAACAGGGCCCAAGACAGCCCGAGAGGCACCAACACGGCCCCAAGGGGGGCCCAACAGGGGTAAGACGAACCGAAAATCCGAGCCTTCCACCCCGAGAGGCTCTCAGGAAGCCCCAGAGGCCCCCAAATGGGACCCAAGAGGCCCTCAAGAAGCTCCCCAGAAGGCCGAAGAGGTTCCAAGAAGCATTGTTTTCCCATCGGCTTTTGATGGACTTTAGAGTTCCCAGCCTTTTGGCATCCCGACGCTCCAAGACGGCCCAAGTGGCCCCCAAGACCGCTCCAAGATAGCCGAAGAGGCCTCCATGAGGGCCCCAAGGCGGCCCACGATGGCCCCAAGACGGTGCCCGAGGCGCCCAAGACGGCCCGAGAGGGCCCCAAGAGGGCCCCAAGAGAGCCCCAAGAAGGGGAAGGCGAACCCAACAGCAGAGCTTTCCGCCCTAAGAGGCCCACAGGAGGCCCCAATAGTCCCCAAGTGGTCCGACGAGGCCCCCCAAAGCCCCCCACCAGGTCCCAAAAGGCTCACAGGAGACGTACACGGGGCCCCAAGATAGCCGAACAGTGTTCTCGATGCAACAAAATTGCTTCAAGGAGGCCCCGAGAGGCCTCCGGATTGCCCCAATGTGGCCTCAAGCCGGGCCTCCACGCAGCCAAGACGGCTAATCGACTGCTTCAGACTGCAGAACATCACTTTCCGACTGCCCGGAGAACCCTGACGATGCCCCCAAGGGACCCCAAGAAGCCCCAAGATGCCCCCCCGAAAAGCACCCAAGAAGTGCCTCCAACAGCCAAGTGAGGAAGCACGGAGAACCCCCCAGAAGCCCTTCAGATGCCCCCACGAAGACCCAAGAGGTTCCCAAGAGGCCCTCAGGAGGCACGACTATGTCACGCGCCTGTGCTTGATAGCGCTGTCCAAGATCTTCTAGCGCGCCCTTGGCCTGGGCTAGAACCTGAGCGCGCGCGAAGCGCGCGCGATGGTTCTAGTTATATATTTGGCGGGGCATGCATAGGGGAGGGACGCATCGACGTCCCTCAATCGCCCATGGATCGCCGCTGGGGGCCTGACAGTCGGAGGAGGAAAGGGTACCCATACCAGCACTCTTCCTCGTTTTCCCCCTCTTGGGCCTCCTGGGAAGCCCTCGTCGCCACCGCTGGGTTCGCCTCGAAATTCTTGTCAGAACGCTCTCCCGAAGAGGTCCAGGGAGTAGCAGTATGTACTTATTGTCTCTCCAGATAGCCCCAACCTGCCCAGGAAAGTGCGGTTTCACTATCGGGGGCATATCGCCGATCTATCGGCGATGTATCACCAATTCAAGGTCGATGTGTTCCCCCTACGCCAGTCCCTCCTTATCGTTGCCCCTCATTCTAGGAGGCCGGGGAGTGCTTCTGACGCGGCGGGGGAGGCCTTTCCAGAAGCCCTCCCTGCCTCGAAGAAGGCGAAGAACAAAAGCACGGCATAAACATACATTTTCGACTGCCCACGCGGATTTCCGATCTGCGCCAGACCCCCCTTCTTCCTCTGAAAAAGCCTGCTTAGACGCCTCCGGGCCCTTCCAAGAAGGCTCTCGTCCTTGCGGCGCCCGCAAGGGGCTGGCGCCAGGACGCTGGGCTTCTAAGAAGGCGAAAGGGCTTCTTTGAAGACAGGGGGCCGTCTTAGAAATGTCCTGGAGGTTTCCAAGAAAGCGTCTCAGAAGCTGGGCAGGCTTCCAAGAATCCCCCCTGCCTGCGTAGAAGCCCCCCCCCCCGCTACTCGGCCGTGGTCCACGGCCCCCTCTCCTCTCCCCCTCCTCCCCCAGCTTTCCGCCCCTCCTGCCGGGGAGATCGCCCAGAGTGGAGGAGCACGGCCTCCAGGAGTGGGGGTCGGCAACTCACGCCCTCGTGGCTTGGCTAGGGAGGCATGTGCACCCATCCTGGGCCCAGGATGGACCTGGCCAGGATCGGTATACGCACATGTGTCTCACCGCCTGATGCCTTCTGCACTAGGCGGTCTCGGACTGGTCGTCCGACGACGCCTCGGGGTGCGAGCCTGCGAAGGAGGTCTGCCGAGAGGAAGAACCCAAACTGCATCAACGTACACTTTCGGAGCCCCGCGCGGACTTCCTGGATCGGCGCTGCCGTCAGAACCATCGGATCTCAGAGATCCTGGTTTTGTTCCGATCCGATTATGTTCCGATCTGCTTCTCGTCTTACGAAGCCTCCATCTTGGACGCCAGCGTGCATCCGGGGCGGGCGGCCAAGCGGGAGGAGTGGGGAGGAGAAGAATGAGGAGGGAGGAAACGCAGGATGGGGAGGAGGAGAAGGGGGAGGAGGAGGAGGAGGAGGAGGAGGAGGAGGAGAACGAGAAGGAGAGGAGGATAAGGAGGAGGAGGAGACGGGAGAAGGAAGAGGAGGAGAGAGGAGGATGAAGGAAGAGGAGGAGGAGGAGGGAGAGGAGGAGGAGGAGGCGAGGGAGAGGGAGGATGAGGAAGAGGATGAGGAGGAGGAGGAAGAGGAGGGAGAATAGGAGGAGGAGGAGGAGCAGTAGGCGGGAGGGAGGGAGGAGGAGGAGGAGGAAAAGGAGGAGGAGGCGGAGGAGGAGGAAAGGAGGAGGACAACAAAAGAAACATAACATGGAAATAATCAACGGGAGGAGGAGGGGGGAATGCTAATATGTTTATATGGCTAACAATAATAATATAAATAAGACGGAAAAGAAACACACGACTGCGATTGATACTAGCAGCAAGGCGAATGATCATATTTCTAAGAGTAGTACGAATACGACGAACAACAACAGTAACGCCTACATCCATATACATATATATACATATACACATACACTAACGCTAGTAACACGACTATCAACGGCACTGCTACTACGTATACTAATATCAGCTACTACTACTACTACTACTACTACTACTACTACTACTACTACTACTACTACTACTACTACTACTACTACTACTACTACTACTACTACTACTACTACTACTACTACTACTACTACTACTACTACTACTACTACTACTACTACTAAGGGGGAGGAGAAGAATGAGGAGGGAGGGACCGCAGGGTGGAGGAGGAGAGAAGGGGAAGGAGGAGGAGGAGGAGAAGGAGGAGGAGGAGGAGGACCTAAGGAGGAGAAGGAGGAGAGGAGGAGGAGGGAGGCGGAGGAGACGGAGAAGGAGGAGGAGGAGGAAGGAGGAGGAGAAAGGGAGGAGGCGATGGAGGAGGAAGAGGAGGAAGGGAGGATAGGAGATGGAGGAGGGAGAGGAGGGAGAATAGGGAGGAGGAGGAGGAGGCGGGGGAGGAGACAGGGGGGGAGGAGGAATAGGAGGAGGACATAACATGGAAATAATCAACGGGAGGAGGAGGGGGGAATGCTAATATGTTTATATGACTAACAGTAATAGTATAAAGAAGACGGAGAATAAACACACGACTGCGATTGATACTAGCAGCAAGGCGAATGATCATATTTCTAAGAGTAGTACGAGTACGACGAACAACAACAGTGACACCTACATCCATATATACATAGATATACAAATACACTAACACTAGTAACACGACTATCAACGGCACTACTACTACGTATACTAATATCAGCATTACTAGTACTACTACTACTACTACTGCTACTGCTACTGCTGCTGCTACGACTTCTACTACTATTACTACTACTACTACTACTACTACTACTACTACTACTACTACTACTACTACTACTACTACTACTACTACTACTGCTGTTACTGCTACTACTACTACTACTACTGCTACTACTACTACTACTACCACCACTGCAACTACTACTACTGCTACTGCTACTACAACAACTACTACAACAACTACTACTGTTAGTAATACTACTACGACTGCTACTGCGACTGCTACTACTACTGCTACTACTGCGACGACCACTACTATTATTACTACTACTACTACTACTACTACTACTACTACTACGACTATTAATGATACTAGTCACACTGCTACTACTACTAATACTGTACATAATACCAACAATGAATCACTTATTACTATTACGACCAACAGCCACTTCCAGACTAACTACCACGAACCACGCGAATACTACGAGTACCGTAATAACGATGCAACTGCGAACAACGTGTTTGACACTCTTAATACTATTGTTTACCATACTTAAAATCTTACGAATGGTAGCAAGGCTACTGGATAGCATGATCAGAAGAATCAGACGAATGCGAGCACGACGTATAATAGAGCATGCGACTAGTACTACGAAAACGAGTTATAGTATTGCTAACAAGATGAGCACTTATACTCACACGAAAAACGATGTTATCATTATGCTTGTTATTACTACTAATAATAAAAAGAAGACGGCTACAACAACAACGACTACTACTACAACTACTACTACTACTACTACTACTACTACTACGACTGCTACTACTACTACTACTACTACTACTACTACTACTACTACTACTACTACTACTACTACTACTACTACTACTACGATTACGATTATTAATATTACTACAATTTTTGTAATTCCACTACTACTACTACTACTACTACTACTACTACTACTACTACTACTACTACTACTACTACTACTAATCGTAGTAGAACGAAGAATACGGATATTAAGAATAAGAAGAATCATGAGAAGAAGAGGAGGAGAAGGTTGAGGAGGAGGAGGAGGAGGGAGGAGGGAAGAGGAGGACGTGGAGGAGGAGGACGAGGACGAGGAGGAGGAGGAGGAGCAGCAGGAGCAGGAG